TCCTCCTTCCGCAAACTACCTTCACTCTCCCTGCTCCCTCCTCCCTCCGCAGCCCCCCCTTCCCGTCTCCCTCCCATATATGCGTTCCCCCTTCCCGCCAGATCCAAACTTGGTTACGGCCTCGCACAGCCTCTGGGAGGTCCAACTTGTTTGTCCCCTCACGCCTGTGCTGCCGAATACCTCGGGCCAAATTTGAATCAGGGGGACTGGGGGGCGGCGGGGGCAAGGCTTGCCCTTTTTGCCCATCTACGCTCTTTATTGTTTGGGTCATTTCGTGATCCCACCGTCTCGTCATCATCCCCTTCCTTATCATCGTCGCCACCACCATCACCACGAACACAATCATCCTCATCATCATAATCATCATCGCCATCATCATAATCATTGCCATCATCAACACAGTCATCATCATCACAATCATCATCACCATAATGATCACCATCATCAGCATCATCATGATCGTCACCATTAGCATCATCAGCATCATCATCATCAGTATCAGCACCATCATCATCAGCAACATCATCTTCACCACCACAATCACCACCATCAACGTCGCCCTCGTCATCGTACTCCCCGTCATCACATTCCTGGTCTTCGTCGTCTTCGTCACATCGTGTCACCGTTTGCTTCCTTGTTGTGGTCAAGGTTTATACTCCTGCCTCTAACTGTAAGACAAAACCCTCTCCGGTCGGACTCAGACTGGACAAAGTTGTTCTGGCAGCTCGTCAAGCCAGTCAACGCGCAATTCTGCTTGTCTGCCTGTGGGTCAGTCACGACGAGAAATCGGAAAACGTCTGGATCGTTCTGGAGTCGGCACCTCGGTGTGACTCCATCTGGTCGACGTGGAACTGCACCTGAGAGATGATCGATCGATCCTCAGCGATCCTGGCGGCAACCAAGGCAAGAGCATTTTGCAGCTCCTGTCTGACGGTGGCCGTCTGAGCGGCAAGACCCGATAGCTGTTGGGTCGCGTGCGTTTCGACCTGGTCTCGGAGCTCTGCCATATCACTGGCGGCGGGGGGGGAATGCGCAACAAGGTTGCGCTGCTGAGAGCCGTGCCGGAAGCATCGTTGAGAGGGGCTGCGGCTGGCATCTCGAGTTGGAAAGCGAATGTGATACCTCTCTGGGGCCTGGCGCTGAGACGTCCGTCCAGTGCGATTCTCTATGACCAGCACATGTTGAGAGATGGAGACATTGGTGGGCGACGGGGCCTTGGCCCAGCGGCGGCTGCGCGCGAAAGCGGTGTCAGGAGACACGTTCGCGACGCGATGGCCGCTGCGGGTGTAGCGAAGGCGGGCGGAGAGTGGGCAGGCGTAATGAAGCCAGCGTCGGCTCCGACGACAAACGGGGCAACTGTGGGTGTGGCCACCGACGGGCGTGGCACGGATGTATCAGGCGCTGCGGTAGGCGAATTCCGCCGTTGCCGCGAAGGTCGAAGCGCGTGAGCGCGCGCGCGGCGGAAACGTCTGCGAATCGGGTGAGAGCTCGCCAGGCGCAGCTGCGAGAAACGCAGCACTCCCCTTTCCTGAAAAAGGGGGGAAATAGGTATCACAGATTCTCTTGCCCTCTCCATGGTGCAGTCGCGAATGCGCGCCGTCGAGGATATCGCGCGCTTGCAGGCGGCGCAACGGAGTTGCAGCGCCAAACGGCGGAATCCAATATGACGCGAATTGCAACAACAAGGCGCGGATGCGAAAAGGCTGATAACCTGTGTGTGTATAGGGAGACGGCCGAGGGGCCGTTCCTATACAGGGTCCGCAGGTCGAGGCGAGGAGTAGGACTACTTTTTTCCAGGGCACTGCGCAGGGAGCAGCGCACTGCTACTGCATTGCCAATACGGTAAAAGAGGATATATTAGGGAAGTGAGCGGACTTCACACACAACGCAAAACGTGTTTAATATGTGTTCGGGGCAATCGTTTGTGGACTGCGCACGGAACTTATTGCGTTTGGAAGCGTTTGGCTTGTACGCGCGACAACGCGCGCGTGCGCATGTCGTCTCATCTGTTGGAAGGGCTTATTGCGACAGCACGCGCGCAAAAGGCGCTCGAACGATTTTGACACGCGCGCGCGACAGAACCGCTTGGCAGCAGTTATGGGCGCGTGGGAAACAAACGGATGGTTTTCTTGCGCATTCGCAAGAGCGCGGGCGCAAGAACTGTTTGACAGCCCTTTTTGCGAAACCATGTGTTTGCATGCGTGTTCGTGGCTCTCGATGTTTGAAGTCCGTACAGAACCTGTGGTGTTTGAAAAGGTTGCAGCAAGCGCGCGACGACGCGCGCGCGTGCACTTCGTACAAGGTTTGGCAAGGAGCTGCTGAACATTGATGACTGCTGATCAACGAAAACGCGCATAACATTTTCTGCGAAAGACGAGGGGGAGGCTGCGAATTCCAGGCTGCCTAGGATGGTACGAATTCATGTTTCGGACGGGCGATGGAACATAATCGCATGAAACTTGCAACACGAAAAAATAGACCGTTAACCCCCGGGGGGGTATATCATATTATGTTTTAGAAAAGAGAACCCACGTGCTGCAATATATGTGGTGCACTATATATATATATACACGCGCATTGTAAAATTTACGCGGTGCTATCGATTTTGGCAAACGAGTTGGCCAATCCTACGCACTGGTAAACATCCCACCCACCCACCCCCAACTTGGTTCGCAAAACCCATGCGGCGGCCATTGCGATGAGTGCTCGGCGTTGGCTGGTGCATCTCGGCGGCCGCGCTAGCCCGCGCACGCTCGCGCGCGCAGCGGCCAGCTAGCTTGGCGTGACCGACGCGGCCGCGGTGGCGCTGACCGTTGGGCATTTTCCATCGGGCATTTCATTGCGAGTCGGTGACTTGGGCGGGCGCGGTGTCATGGCGACGCCGACAAGGGTAGCGACGCTAGCGACGGTGGTGGCGATGACGGCAGCAAGACCAATGACGGCGCCGATGTGGATCACGCCCGCCGATGACGATGACAATGGCCCCGCGTCGGCGATGAAGGTTTTTGAAAGAGTTCGACATGCGCACACGGCCGACGCGCGCGAGTGGCCCGCGTGGTATTATTTGACACGGATCGTGCCCCCCCAGCACGCGCGCAAGGGCGTTCGAATGAGTTCGACATGCGGCGCGAGAGGCCCGTTTGTAAAAATGATGAACATATTGGAAAACGAATGGTTCCCCCCAGGAATCCGCAAGTCCGCGAGTGCAGGCTTTCTTTGAAAACTGATGTTGCAATACCATGTGCTATTATATGTGTTCGGGGCACTCGTTTGCGAAATCCTTGCGAAACTGATTGTTGTTGAAAGATTCCGGCATGCGCGCGCGACGACGCGCGCGTGCGCACTTCGTCCAATGTTTTGGGGTGGTATCCTTGCGACAGCACGCGCGCAAAGGCGTTCGAGCGATTTCGACACGCGCGTGCGAGAGACTCGTTTGGTAGCACGTCGTGAGCAGAGTGAAAACCAATGAGTTTCTGAAGCAGTCGCAAGAACGCGGGCGCAAGCTCTTTTTTGAACACCCTTGTTGCGAAACCATGTCTTGGCATACGTATGTGTTTGTGACTCTCGACTTTGAAACCCTTACGGCACCTCGAGTTTTTGAAGGATGTCGGCATGCGCGCGCGACGACGCGCGCGTGTGCACTTCGTTCCGTTTTTGGCAAGGGGTTCTTAGGCACTGATGATTTGTGATCAACAAATGTGCGTGTGCGCGCAGAAGTTTCTTTCAGAGGATGAAAGGGGGGCCGAACTCCAACCTGCCTGGGATGGTATGGATTCATATGTATGATGGACGGGGGAGCAGAATCATATCTGAATTGCAATACGAAAAGAAGTACATTAAGTCAGGGTGGGCGGTAGATCCCAATTCTTGTTAGAAAGGGGCAGCCCTGCGAGGCGGCGACGACCGGCGACAAGGCGTCGACGGGGCGGGGACGGCGGCCACATAGCCGCCAGACCCGCGGCCAGGCCCAGACGACGGGCGGCGACGAGGCGGCGACGGGGCGGCGACGGCGGCCACATAGCCGCCAGACCGACGGCCAGGCCCAGTAAATTCCAGAAGAAAAAACTTCCAGGTGCAAGCACTATTTAGCGAAATTCGAAGCGAGACAACGACCCCTGAATCAAATGTGAGGAAATCTCGGGCGACCAGGACTCGGGACACGGGTGAGAGCAGGGCCATATGCATCACCAGAGCCGGGACGAGGGTGAGAGCACCGTCATGCCCGCCTGAGCTTCTTTTTGCAACACATCGTGTCTCTACGAGCCAGGATAAAAAGGGTGAGAGCACGGCCACGTGCACTTGAATGCGGTTCTTTGTGCAACGGATCGTCTACGTGTAATAAGGGATCTTGGCCGTCCAAAGCCAGCATGTACCTGGCACTGTTTGTTCTGCTATGCATCGCGGCCGTCTGGACCAAACGTGTAACTAGCCGGCATTGAGGCGAGAGCACGACTCCTGAATATTGAGCAGGGACCGACCGTCCCGGCATTCCTATAGACCTACCACGAAATATGCTTAGAGTCCCAAAACGTTCTAAGAACAGGAACCATATTCTTAGAGCATAAGCCCGACGTGTTAAGACAAGGCAGTCCCGACAAGAAATGTTCTAAGAACATTTCTTGCGATCCACAAAAGGTTCTTAGAACCTTGTTTAGTAGGTCTATAGGCATGCCAGGACGCTTCGCCACTGCTTGACTGAACAACTTCGGAGAGAAATTCTCTCAAGCGCAAAGGCTGCCTCTGACCGGCTGCCCAACCGGCTGCCGCACTGGGGGCGGTCTCGGGCCCCTCCTCGCATCCACTGCGGGACCCTTGTGCTGTTAGCTCTCACCTCCAGGAGGAGGAGGAAGAGGGGAAAATGTTCGTTCGTTGTTCGTTGCGGGACTCTTGCGTTGTTCGTCGTCACCTCCTGGAGGAGGAGGAGGAGGAGGAGGAAGAGACAAATAGACGAGGAAACTTCCTGGACCTCCCGCCCGCCCGCCCCCCCGCCGCCCCTGGACCCCCCCGATCGTGCATCCTCGCCAACAGAAGCGAGCGCGTGCCTCCTGGCATGGGGAAAAAATGGTGCGAGCGCGAATCAACTAATTCGCCCCGGCGGCGTGCACAAGAGGGGCTGGGCGAGGGGGGCCGCCATCTCTCAGAGACGACTCTGGGCTACTCAGCAGCTGCTGTTAAGTCGGGCCTGTCCCTCCACAGGAGAAGTATTCAAAAATAGTATAAAAATGGTCTGAGGACGATTTGTTGTATTATTTGACTATGTTGGAGCATTTTTGGGGTAGTCTCTATATCTCGTCCCGCATCCGCCTGTGGGGGGGCATGCCCGACCAAAGCTGCTGGCCCGAGCCACTCAATGAATCTTCTTTTGCTCGCCATCGCTCGGACGCCCATTCCCCGTGCACTGTTCGGTGGCGTGCGCATTTCTCCCCCCGCAAGATGATCCAAGATGCTCCCAGATGATGGGCCTGATGTTCTGTCGCTGGCCTCGCCGAGAAAAACGCACACGCCCGTTTGATGCCCAGTATCGCCTCACAACCCCCTGCCTGTGGGCCCAGACATCCAGCGCCGTGACTTCTCACGGCGCGGATCCCCGGGGGGCACGACCACCTCTCTGACGGACCCCGGGGCCCAGCAGGGGCCCTCGGAGGCCGAAGACGGTTGCAGAGACCCCCCGGCGCGATCGTGACCGCGGCGCGAGGTGGAGGAGGGCCGCCCCTCTCACCCAGCGCCCAGCCTGTGAGAGCAGGGCAGACCGTGGCCTTCGGGCCCCACCTGCCGGAGGGGCAGCCTGGGCGCCGTCGGCTCAGCCCCGGCGGGAGCCTGGCCGGCTCATCCGCAGGGCCTCCGGCCGACAGGAGAGCGGAGCGCGACCCCTGGCCGCCCCCGACACCCAGGGCATCGGTGTCCGAGCTGCCGCGGCGAACGGAGCTCGCCCCCGACACCCCAGCCAGCGGTGTCGGAGCTTTCGCCGATCGGAGCCGATCCTGGATCCACAGGAGACTCGTCGGAGCGAAGTGCCATGGCGGCTCGTCCGCAGGCGGCAGCTGTGCACCACCACGCCTGGCCACGGCCATGCTGGGCCCTGGCACCGTGTACTATAGTACGCCCTCCTTGCCCAGGCAGAGGGTGGTCCGTCCACGATCCTGCAGGCCCAGGGTGGCCCTGGCCAAGCCTGGTGTTGCACGGGTGCCTCTTGCGGAGATTCGGTTGGCTCGTGGGAGGCGTCCTCACAAGTAGCACGGCAGATGCCTTGAGCGTCCCCGGAGCTCCAACCATCGGGGAGCAAAACCCTCTTGCGGAGATTCGGTTGGCTCGTGGGAGGCGTCCTCACAAGTAGCACGGCAGATGCCTTGAGCGTCCCCGGAGCTCCAACCATCGGGGAGCAAAACACGTTCCAGCGTAGGCCCCTGGAGGACAGTTCCGGGCACTGGGGCCTGTAGAACGCGGCCAGTGACGAAACGCAAGTCCAGGGGATGCGGGCGGAAGCCACGCACCCAAAGGGTGAACGAAATGATGACGTCGGAGGTCTGGGGATCAGTGTGCATCGGGCCACATGCCACTGCAAGGTCACAAGCGTACCGTAATAAAGAAGTTCTAGGATCGGATTCGCGCAGCCCGAAAAGCCTGCACATCGGGCTGCGGGGGGCTTGCAACACTGTGCTGCAAGAGCGGTCGGGCACCAAGGCAGAAACAGCCGCTGGGCAACCGCTCGGTGTTAACGGGGGACTGACCCGCGCGAACTAGATTATGTACATTGCGTGTACAAGCGACGCCATGTGTAGGCGTCTGAATTGGTCGGTGTGATGATCCGCGTTACGCTTCTCAGAGTGCCCCAGAGTTTTTGCGTGAACGTCACATCCATCTGAGCAAATGGTTCGCCATACTTAGCGGTGCCTTCAAAGTCTCCCGCCGTACATGTATCGCCATCTGTCGCATTCAGACGCCTACACCTGCCGCAAAGTGAGAACGCGTCCGCGGCGCTAGAGGATGCCCGAGGCCAGGGACAACCACTCAAGCAATACCACACACTACAAATGGTGTTGCATGTATCGGCGTAGGTCGTAGGTCAAACGCACAAATAAGCAAAGTGTCGCACGGGTTCGGCCATGCCACGTAACAGGCTCGCATGTCCATGCATGAAACCGATTGACGAGCACAAAACAAAAATGATATCAACATGGGGTCAAACAAATGCAGTCGGTACAAACGCTACACAATTGCTGTTTAAGTCAACGGTTGACACACGCACGCGTCATCATGTCCTCAAGTTGTCACGGCCACGATGGTCGCACTACATTCCCGTTACGTTTGCGAATGTGTTGCTGCGCGCCCTCTACAAGCCACGCACACTCCCAATTCAATAGTGATACAACGTCATTGCGCGCCCAGCGCGTTCCCGACTACATCTTCGAAAAGTTCGGAATACCCGTGCATTCGGAAGTGTGGCCATGCTGCTAACTCTCAAGACGGCTCCTGGCCCAGTGGGCGCCTCGGAATTGGCTGCGATACTGAGGAACCACGGAGCGCGCTTGTAAGCAACAGTCTGGCCCAAATGGCTGGACGTGGGTCACGATTGCCCGAGCTGGCCTCTGACCACCCTAGATGGCCACACGCGGCATGGTGCCATACCAGCGCAAAACGTTAGGATGCATATCGTATTTTCCTGATAGGTTATGCCAAGACAAGTCGTATGCTGCGTGGGCGTTCGTGCAACTGACGTGCGAACCCCGCGTGTATCAAATATGTTGGCGCGAAATTGGCAACATGCTACTTGCTCACACATTGTACCTTACCGGTCTGAGCGCAAGCATATGTACAACTCAAGACGCATGCACGTACCACATCATAGATGCGGGTGCTGTGCCCGAACACGTACACATATGCAATTACTGCACGTATTGCTCGTAGAGGCACACGCTTAACGAATACGCTTGCTCGGCCTGCTTTCACAACATGGCACGCCATGCATAAGATACGTGCTCTGATTGATCTGGTGGTGCCAGCCGAGTCTGACGTTCAATTATTGCTTGGGTAGTCCGCTGTTTCTAGGCGTCGCCTAAGGAACTCTCCTTACCCGAGCGAGCGCGCCAAATTGGCGATCACGATCGGGCCGTTGCACTTCCCCTGGTTGCCAGTGCTCGTGACGGCCGCGTTGCGGTAGTGACGAAGGTTTGCCTCGAGCCCTTGCAGGTGGGCAATCGAGACCACTGCCACCTTGCTCCTCCTTCGCCAACAGCAAAGCCACCCGGATTCCCAAACAATACAGCTTCCTGAACACGTTGAGAAAGAAGTTGTTTAACTGACCACTGTTCCTAGACCCCAACGTCGTTTTTTTCCACAACGTCGGCCCTCGGAGGTCTGTACCCCTTCCCTGGGACCGGTTTTTCATCCTGAGTCGTTTTTTGAAAGTCCCCAGGCCCGGGAAAGCACCTGGAGGCCGAAAATCGCAAAAACCTCCCGTCGTGATTCTCTCACAACGCAGGGGAGGTCTGGGTTTGAACAGCTTTCGAGCAATCAAACGAATTCCCCGGGTGGCTTTTCTGTCGGTCGCTCCTGTCCCTGCGCTGCCGCTCGAACGGGCGACCCACGAAGACCTGCGTGCAGCGCTGGGCCCACTCCGGGCTTATGAAGTTGACGAAGCAATCCGCCACCGCGCCCGCGGCGTCGGTCGGCCCGGTGAGATTTGAAAGCACGCGAGCGACGACCAACATCGGCGGCGAGCGAGGGGGGAAGTGAGAAGGAGAAGGCCTTCTCAGAAGGTTCGGAAATCCCCCGGCTTTCGGAGAAGTTTTCTGAGCCTTCCCCGAAAACAAACAGAAACATCTCGGAAGGCGCGAGGGCTTCTGAGAAGTCCCGCCGCCTTCTGAGAAGGCCTTCTCCTTCTCATTTCCCCCCCTCGCTCGCCGCCGAATGTGAGCGACGATCAAACAAGGGGTCTTGCGCGAGATGACACAGCGACCGTACGCGGCGGCTTGCGCGGGCCGCCAGCGCGGCACGCTGCAACGGAGACGAGGGCGCTTACGCGCAACATCACGCGGGCAGATAACGCGCCAATGTCGACGCAGACGACCCCTTTCTATTCGTCGCTAGTGTGTGCACGGGAAGAACTGGTCGACGCCGGCGGCACTCGCAGGTGCGAAAGGGGGGGCAACACAAGGGTTTGGGGCCCTCCATGGGCCATCGGCGCATACCCCCCGCAGACCACGATACCCCCCAATCTGGCGGACACCGGCACATGCTGCGGCTGGCGTCCATGCGCCTTCGTCTGCGAAGATCGGAGGGAACGAAAAGGGGGGGATAGCAAAGGGTAGGGTAGAGAATCAGCTCACGTAGCTGATTTTCCCAGCGCCTCCCGGCGCCGGGAGGCGCCCATGTATGGAGGAATGGGCCCAGCGGCGGGGCCGAAACCAGCTGCATGCAGCAGACCTCGTAACCCTCCCTTTCCCTACATCCACCCCTTCTGCTCGGCCCGAGAAGAGCAAGAGACAAGCCGCCGTGAAACAGCCACCTTGCAGACTTCGTCTCACCGCTCCGCTGCCCTCCCAGGACACAGGAGCCTGCTCTCTGGCGGTCCCAGCGGGCGGTGTGAGAACGCGTTGGCTTCGGCCCTTGGAGGCCCCTGGGACTCCCAAGGTCAGCCGCACGCAAGGAGTGCCGCCGGGCAAGAGTGACCGCACCAAGACGGCCCAAGACGCGGCACGAAAACGACCCCGAGGCCCCCCTCCAATCAAGACGGCCCGAAGGCCCCACGAGACGACCCCAAGGCCTCCCCGACGGAACCGAGGCCCCCCTAGACGGCTCAAAGATCCCCAGCGGGCCCCGAAAGAGGACCCGTGGAGGCCCCGAGCAGGGACCCCGCGGGGAGGCATCGTGAAGGCCTTGCAGGGGCACGGCCGCACCGCAACCTGTGACGCTGCCGCGCATCTGCCCCCAACACGCGGCAGCGGAGACGCGCGCCAGCGCAGCCGGATAGCCGACGCTGCCGTTGGTACCCTTGTCGAGGGGGACGTAGAGGAAGTCGTAGGAGTCCTGGGGGGTGGAGGCCCCATCCAGATGCCATGCGATGCAAGGCTAGTCTGCGAGCACGGGGCGACAGCCATACACGTCGTTCGGAAGAAGTCTATTAAAAAACATGAATTAGGAAGGCGGATCAAGTAGATTGGGCTCAGGCCCTTCCAGCTGATAGCAAAACACAGCACAACATGTGATCGATTCTTGAAGTAGGAAGACGCTTAAAATAGATTGGGATCTGGGAATCCAAAAATATATCCTCTCAGCGACCGGCGTGTAGATGGGTGCAGGGGGCAGGGCGCGACAGCCAGATGGTTGTGGTGGGCAGTGCGCGCAACAGCTCAGTGGAGGGCGCCTTGAATTAGGCACCGCAGACAAGCTTTTAGGCGGAGGACCCCAATGGCCACCCTGACTCTGGAGCGGCACGGGAGGGGCATCCGTCGGCACGGGGCAGTGCAGCAAAGCGTCCCCGCCAAACTGACCGAACGTGATCCAGCAATAGTTGTCGGAGCACCCGTTTTGAAATTTTGTTCGCACACGGGTGACGCACACTCTCTGGTGTACTCTCAGAAGGCCTGCGTGTGTGTGTGCGCCCACCACACATATTCCCACGGGACAAGGTTGGCAGACAACGGCTAGCACCCTTGTGCGGCGAGCCATCCTGGAAGCCTAGTCCCTCCAGCTCGCGCACCATAGTCAGCTGCGTGTAGTGATTCGGGATGTTCCTGATCATCAGAGTGGTCGGAGGCCCCGCCTGCTCAGATTGGTCGAACTCCTTGGCCAGGTCGTGCCTCCGAGGCACCTGAGGGGAAAGGGCACAGAAAACCACAACGGAAAAGAAGGACGCCCCGAAGCCCGTATATACGAGGTGGTTTCCCTTTCCCTCCGAACCCCAATGAAAGACAGACCGAACATATTGTAGCGTTTGCGTTTGTGCGTAAAGCTGTGAGAAGGAGCAGCACAAGGAGACCAGGGAAAAGATAGAGGAGGGAAGGAGATGAGGAGGAGGAGGAGGAGGAGGAGAAGGAGGAGGATTAAGAGGAGGAGGAGGAGGAGGAGGAGGAGGAGGAGGAGGAGCAGGAGCAGGAGCAGGAGAAGGGGGAAACCGAGGGGAGGACGCAGGGGAGCACCGTTACCTGAGCACGCTTCCCTTGGCTCCAAGTCAAGAACATCGACCAGCACCCCGATGCTGCTCTTCTGTCAGGGCCACGTTTGAGGCCGCCCGTGGGGCCGGACGAGCTGGGACGCGACTGCGCCTCAAACTGCATCGTACCCTGCGGCGAGGCCTCGTGTGGATTGGGGCCGGCTGGCTTCCTCATTGGGGGGAAGGGGACTCCATAACGCTGAGAACCAGCTGCGGATCGGATCGGATCAGGCTCGTGTTGTCTGGCGTCGCTTCGCCTTGCGGGGAGCTCTGGGCGGCGAGGCGCTGGCGGCCGCCAGTCCTTGCGGGGAGGCCTCTGCTGTGCTCGGGCAGAGCGGCACCGGCTGGGGATGGAATGGACAATGAGGAAATAGGGGGAGGAGGAGGAGGAGGAGGAGAGACGAGGAGGAAAGAGGAGGAGGAGGAGGAAAGAGGCGCCACCTCGGCAAGCCGTCCCGACTGCGCGCGCATCGCCGAATCGATCAGTTGGGCATATCGACGAACCCCTGCCCAAGTAGAGACCATCCATTCTCAGAAGACCAGAGAACCCACCAAGCGCCCCATGTTGAGTCAAAACCTGTCCGCAGATAATCACATACGTCGTGTGCCCACCCGTTTGAACGGGCGGCGTACCTGAGGGGGGGGGAAGGGGTTTTCAGGAATATGAGCAAGGGCGCGGGCAAGCGGAGGCAAGACGAGGGATCGGAGCGAAGACAGACATGCGTGCTTGCCCTACGGTGTTGGCGTGGCGGACATCTCTGCTCTTGCCCCATCTCCTCGCTTCCTTCGCCGAGAGGCTCGGGGTCTGTGGTGGCAGTTATGACGCGCAGTCGGCGCCGTTTTGCAAATGCCCTCCAATGCCCACCAGGTTGGTTTTCGGAACTTGCGCTCGCGATGTGAAGGCCCACCTTCTGCTTGGCAGCCACGTGCGCAGCATCGCGGCGGGTCAGACCCGGTGGCCGAAGATGGGCGCGGCACCAAGAAAATAGAGAAGACAAAACCACATCACCAGAAACTTTTGGCGCTCCGCGCGGATTTCTTGGATCCGCGCCTGAGCCCCCCGGCGGCGCCTCCGGCGCAGCCCCTGGCGGGCTACGCGCGCCATGGAGGGGGATCCAAGAAATCCGCGCGGAGCGCCAAAAGTTTATGTTAATGTTGTTTTTTCTTCTTCGAAGAAAGGAAGAGAGATAGAGAGAGAGAGAGAGAAACAAAGAAAGAAAGAAAGAGAGAGACAGAGAGAGAAACAGAGGGAGAGAGAGGGAGACCAGGGCCGCAGCACAAAGCTGCAGGCATCTATCGCCTATCGCCAGCTGACACGGGCGGGCGCTCCCCTGTCGCAGTGCGCTGGTCCGGGCCTGCTGACGAGGGGCACCGGGGAACCGCCCAAGCCGCCCAGGCCGAGCAGGGATCTCGCGTGGGTCGCGGAGATTGCCAAAGACGCTGCGCACGAAGACTCGCGGGTTTCCCATCTCAGCGTCCCTGATTGACGCCGTGACTCTTCACAACCCGAGCAGGAAGGGGAGGAGGGCGAGGAAAGGGAGGAGGAGGGCGAGGAGGAGGGCGATGAGGACCAATCTGACCATTCTGACCAATGAAGGCTCACTGACAGCCACGTGTTTGGGCGCATCACCTGAATTTAAGAAAAAAGAGACAGGAGGACAGGCGAGAGGCTTCATCACCTCGCCGCTCCTGGACCTCGCGCAGCAACGAGGCAGAGCAGAGCTTGCTCCTTCACAGCCTTGGCCTGCCACTCCCAACCACCCTTTGGAACGGGAGGACGGGCAGACAAACAAAAACTACAGGTGGGAGGGGTCGTCGCACATCACGTCGAATCCGAACCATCACCCTCCTCACCTGAATCAAGCAGCAGAGAGCTTCCCTGAGCTCAACACGGGCGGGGGGGGGAGGAGGAGGAAAAGGAGGAGGAGGAGGAGGAGGAGGAGGAGGAGGAGGAGAGAGGAGGAGAAGGGGGAGGAGGAGGAGGAGGAGAGGGAGGAGAAGGAGAGGAGGAAGGAGGAGAGGGGTGGGAAGCCCACGGGCCCCTAGCAGCATCACGAGCCCTTAGCAAGCTCACCTCGTCCCTGGGGTCCAACAACGCCGACCAGGGGTCGGGGTCCCCAAGACACAGACCAGTCCCGACCGACAGGGGCTCCACATGAGCCGTGGGAGGGGCACTAGATTTGGCTCGAGGGCTGACAAAACGGGCGTCCCTGGGCCCCTTGGCTCTGCATCCAGCAAAACCTAAGGCTAACTGAGCCTTCTCCTCCGCAGCGCTGTTAGCATAGGGGCCAGGAACCTGAAGCACTAAGCTCAGCTCGTCCGGGAGACCCTGGGATCAAGCACATCCATGTCACGTAGACGGTACACTTCATCCACACATCGGGCACCTGAGGGTACGTGAGCGTCTGCCACAAATTTGGTGTTCTCTCCTTCCAGTGAGCAGCCTCAGGATGTACATTCAGAGCACATGCTCATACTGTGAGGCACGTTCGCATCAACTGGTACTGGCTGGGCCGGAGCTGAGAGCCGATAGAACATTGCTCAAACTGTCGCAAGTTGACAACAGGACGCGCACTCGACCGCAATTGACATTGAGGGCCTCCCCTGGGGCGGATCACGTGTCCTGTTCTCAAGAGCAGGTCCCACCTGCAACTAATACCCACACGAAGTAAATTGCCACAACAAAGGGCACATTCCGCCTCCACCTGCACATCACCTGAATGCCTGAAAACAACTACATATAAGCAAACACTGCACACTGAAGAGGCCGCGGACACCGGTCAACCGCAGGAACAGCACACTCAGGAGAGACCACCTGGACCTCAAACAGATGCTCCGGCACCTCCTCATATTGAGAACACATACCTCTGATGGCCTGGCAAGTTTTCACTCAATAATCCCATTCGGGCACCTTCAGAAACCTTTGGGCAACAGGACAATGGCGACGAGCAGTCCTCCGTAGGACCTCCGCCAGACAGAGAAACGCCTCGATTACCCCCCGCTGCTTTTGCCGCCGCTGCAGACCTCGAATGTGGTTGGACCCACCGCGGACCCTGAGGCTTCCCCAGACTCCCTATTGCTTCTGGACTCCCAGCGACGCCCCGGACAGACACGCAAGTCGAAGCAGGCCTCGAGGGGTCCTCCGAGTCCGCGCGCAACAGGTAGCCCGCAGGTGCCTCCGACGCTCCGAAGTTTAGACGTCCTTTCACTGACCCAGCCCCGTCGACGAGGGTCGTCAGGGAGAAGAAGCACATGAGCAAAAGCTGCAGGGTGAGCAATCACGAGCGCATAGTGTGAATCGGCTGGCTCCGTCCAAATAGGCACTGGGAAGGAGGTCGCATGAACTTCAAAAGCAGCGCGCACCTGTGGCAAGGGCACGAATAACAATCCACATGGCCCCCACTTCGGCGCCAATCTCAGCGCACTTGGAAGAATGCATGACGCAATTCACAACTCGCCCGGAAAGGCCCGCATGGAGCCCGCTTTCAAGCACCCCGAAGAAGTGGCGTCAAGCGGCACAACGCTGCTTGGCCAAAAGCGAGATGTGTCCAGGGGAGTTCAAGCCGATAACCTCCAGGTACCTGATGGACCCACGCGTCCCACGGGACACTGTCCTGCACTCGCTGTCTCCCTGGAAGGTCCGAACACTAGAACCTGGAAACCAACGGCTGCTAAAAATGTACAGGACCCCGAAAACATCCTGGACCTGGAACCCCTCCGTGGACATCCCCTTGACTCATTTGTCGAAAGATTCAGCGACGCACAGCAGGCCATCGGTGCTCTCCTCATAAAGCCATGCCCACGCGAGAATATAAGAGTCAACAAGCAGCTCCATGTCAGGCATCAGTCTCATGCCCGTGAGACGCGCATTG